TTAATGTTAATTTTAGATTAAATTGCAATCATGATGCAAGTTGCAGACTACAAAAAAATCCAAAGGTAAAACACTTTAAGTGGTAAAGTTTGTTGATAAGTTTGAATGTCTTGCTTTTAATTTTGTGGTAAAATTTTTTTGAACATCTAAAAATATTCCTGTCTGTGAAACGCACATATGTCACACAAAGTTTGCAATAACTTGCTGTAAATTACCTTTACATAGGAATATAGTGCATTTTATTGACATGAGGCTTCTCTTTATAAGTACATCTGAGGGAGGTATGGTATGCAAATGTACTAAAATTAGCAACTTTTGCTACACAGCTTGCTTCAGATGTGTTAGGAACCAGTTTGTGGTGGTTGTTTTTATGTTTTTCTCTCTCCACCTACAGGTGGTACCCTGTTCCTCGTTGGGCCTCCCTGCACACCTGCGGCTCGTTGGATCATTACCGAAGGAGTATTTGAGCAGCGGCCTGTCACTACCTCGATGCCAGAGTGTTTGCCAGTTTTGGGTACTCTAGCCAAGGTGAGATTAACAGAGCCTAACCGAAGCTTTGTTTCTCTGAGTCTAATCTTGTTTTTGTCTTTGCTCTTCGGCAAGTAGCCTTTCCTGTGTAACTGGATAACCTGGACCTTCTCCCCCTGAAAGGATTACTGAGTACACACTGAGCAGTGGTAAACCTCCACAAGATCCGCTCAAGTTCTCATTGGAAAACCAAGTGACAGTCCACTCCTTTACTCCTCTGGGTCCAACGTATGTCTGGCTGTCCGCTCTCAAACGAGTTCCCTCTCCTCTGGATTAATTCCCCACAAACTGGATTCAAGGATTAACAAGAGCCCCCTCAAACGTGAGTTTATCTCCAGCCATATTCAACCCCCAGTCAAATTTCCTTTGGTCCCTGAATGAATTGAATGCCAACATTCAAATAGTAATATATTCTTCAGTGTTCATAAGTTTGACATTATTTGAAAGCTTAGACTCCATTCTTTCAGGATCTATAAATAACTGTAAATGGTCCTGAATAGACATGGTTCTGGTCTTGCAATGACCTCTGACATATGTAAAATTATTTCTCTAAAAAAAGGGAAAAAGTTGGGAAGACTAATGGAAAAATTAATGGTTTCATCTCAACATCCATTTAACCTGATGGTCTGACTTCTGAATACACCATTTCTTCTGTCTTCAGTTCCCTCTTCTTGGTTCCTCTAGGTATTTTCCCTCCAGAAAAATGTAATGCAGAGTAACTCAGATCCTGTCCTTTATCAAGCTGTGCAGAGAAATGTATTTGATTAATGTTTGTAGAAATTCAAGCAAAATTCAAGCAAATTTACTCAAATAATAGTTTTGTGATTTCTTTATCAGTACCTACAATTTCATCTCTTTGTTGGGTCAAGTTGTTGCGTTCCACTTCTGAGGGGCTTTCTATCAAACAAACAGCAACAGGAATTAATGATAACATTTCATTTCAATGATCTCTCACATGTCAGATGGCTAATATCTAAAGCGTAACATAAACTCAGGTTGTTACTTTCTTCTATAGATCTATAGATCTTTTCAGTAGAATACAAAATTAATATTGTTCGGTTAATAATACTTACCTTTAACTATTTGACATGGAAAGGCTTGAGTTCGATAGAAGATCAAAATTATATGTACGATCACAGAAATGGCCAAAAGGGTTATTGTTATGAGCAAAGTCGTATGTTTGTACCATAATGTTTGACCTAGAAAAAAGAAACATGAGTATCTCCAAGCATTTGAAATAATCACTTATTATTGTGCATATTTCTCAATGTGTGTATATTACCTCCTTGCTCTTTGATGACATTTCCAAATAAGATTTCTCCACATGTAGCCACAGCACAGTAGTAAGTCCCAGGATCAGAGGAGCTGATGTTCTTGGGGAAGTTATAGGTACATTTTGTTTGGGCGTCTGGAATTTTCTCACAGTTATCAGCTCTTTTACTATCAGTGTAGATGATATTTGGATAGGATCTGTTGGATCCAGCTTTGAACCAGAAAATGCTGAAATCTTCTGAACATGAATTGTTCTCTGACTCAGAGAGAACTGAACACTGCAGAGTCTCTGAGTCTTCTGGACGGGACAATTCTGAGGCTGTTGACTGCTGAACAACAGTGTAGCTGGATGTCTTCTTTGAGTTTCCTGAAAAAAAGTTTAAGTTTATTTTTTAAAGCTATGATGTCTGATAGGTTAAATGTAATAGACATTTTTAGATAGAAAGGAAATATTACTTTATAGGGCCTGAATAGTGAAATTGTCTTTTGTGCTTGGCTTGTTCGCAAGAGAGCAAGAGCTGACACAGAAGGAACTAAAGAGCATTCTGGGTTTAGGACCCAGAATATTTCAAAACATTGCAATTTTGAGGTCTCACATTTACCTTTTACTATCAAATACGTCCCCATCCAAGTAGACTCTGTCCAGTCCATAATAGCACAGTGATACATTCCCTCGTCTTGTTCAACTGTCCTCAGAATTGTGAGGTTGCCTATTTTATCATCATTTGTAACTTTGAATCTTGAAGAAGGAAATTCTGGGCTATAAGTGTGATCTACTTTGTTTCTCTGCATTGCAATAATTATCAGAGTATCTCCAGAATTCTGCTTGTACCAGTGAATCCATGTTCTGGATGTGAATTTCTTCATAGCCGCACAGGTAAAAGTTACAGGTTCGCCAAGCGGAACAGTGACCACAGGAACTAAGGCATCTGGGTTAAAGATAAAATCCATGAATCAAATAAAATGTTAATGCCAAACTGAAAATAGTTTCACCCTCTAAATTATAATGTACTTACAGCCTTGATGAAGAATAAAGACTGTGATCCATAACAGAGTCATGATGACACTGACTTCATAAAGACATTTGATGCTTTACTAACAGGAGTAGGTGTGGCGATCCAGATCTAAAGTGCATCGTACTAGTTTTTCTGGGGGGGTTTTATAGAAAAAAAAAGCGTGCCTCCTGCCACAATGAGACCATGTTTACTGAAAGATCTGCTCTTTCTCTTTGTCTTGCAACTATGAATGAATTTAAGGCTTACCTGTACATTCATGTTTTCTTTTGACCTGACCCAATTCTTTCATGAAGGAGGTTTTACACCTATTGTGTGATTGAAACATTACTTAGCACAAATATCTTTTCTGATAGCG